TATATATATATAATGTGCAGTTCACTTCAAGTATTGGAGAAAATACTGAAAACAGCAAGAAAACAACTGGGAATGTTGTTTTCAGAGTCAGCGTGCAGACTTACCGCTGTTTTCACATTGGGAGCAGTGAATGAGAGCCTCGGGCTTGCCTCTCCTGTTGGCCTCTTTACTCTTCAGGCAAATGCCACATATTGCATTGGGAATGACCTTAGGCTGCAAGGGCAGAATAATGCTATAAAATGCAATCGGATATCTTGTAGTCATGGAAATACAGCAGAACACAGTAATCTCTGGAAGACGGCAATAATATGTTGTCTCAACTCTGAGAAATGTTGTCTCTGCTTTGAGTGGGACAAAGCATCAAGTAAATACTGCCTGGATTAAACATCATAAACACCAACCTCAGCAAAGCAGCTTGAAAACTAAAATATGACAGATTCATAAACAAGAAAGTGATTTAGAATTTTGTCAAGAAAACCTCTTTGGCAATGGTAAAAAAAATGAAAGCGTAAAATATATTTCAAGGTTGGGGTCACTTTAACTAAACGAAGCTCAGCATCTGTATTTTCACACAAGTGGTGGTGTAGTTAAAATCAAGAAGTAAAACTCCAGATGATGCTTTTAGATCACAGCTACTTACAAAGACACAATGATGCTGTTTAGAAAACCCATTTAAAAAGTTGAAATATAAGCACAGAAATCTGAACTATTGGCTATATCCTGTGGGTTTGTCAACTTTTCCTACTTTGTTTCTTGTAGATGTGAAGTAACAAAAATAATAATAATGCAGAGTTTAAAATATGCAAAAGAGGACAAATCAAACAGAAGATTAGAAAGTACAGGAGCATTTAAATTAGAGCATTTTGTGCAAATGCTTCATTCTGCTTTGGAGTATTTAAACATAACCACTGCCTGATGACAGAAACAGAGTACGTACTGTGACGGGAATAAACAAGCGCACAAGAGCCTCACTGTTAAAACCAGCACGGTAACTAACTCGAGGCTCACTTCACAAGTTGTCTAAATAAACCCAGTACTGTGGGAGTACAAGAAACAGAAAAACTGACATGAAATTCAGTCTGACCTGCCTGAGTTAGTGTGTGACAATATTTTACCTAACTAATCACAAAATAAAATCTATATATATTGAAAAACAGTCTTACACAATCAGAAATGCTTAGTTTAATAGATGGGAAACCCAAGTATTCTGTGTGATTCCTTAATAGTAAAATCCTTGAGTGGAAACATCTGAAAATGTTGATTCATGAGACTGAATCCAGCTTGTTTCAATGTATTTTATTCTAAATTAACTGAATTCAGACAAGAAATATTGCATATAACATGCACATATAAGAAACAGTACTAACTTTCTCAAAACACTTCCAACCAAGTATACTTTTATATAAATTAACAGCTTTAGAGTCCTGTTTCTCCAACGAGAGGTTGCAGAGGCGTACTTTATAACTAAATACTAGCTGAATATACACTCATTCACTGCTCCATTCACAGATGGATCAAAGATACAATAACATGTATCACACCAAGACACACCTGTAGAGCCATACGTTAAACCAATTCTTACTGTAGTGAACATTATTCGTTTTTATTCTTGAAACAATCTGTAAAATCTTGTAATACTCTAAAGCTTTAGATACCATCATCTCGGCTGACCGACCTGCATTTGACAGTCAGATCGGAGAGAAAAACAAACTATTAGTTAGAGGCAGATTCACTGAATCAAAGCTTTGTTGAAACCTACGGTGATGTTTGAGGAAATAACAGAATTAATATAAAACATTCACGCTTCCTACTGGGGGCAGATCAATTCAGACTCTACATCTGAAAAGGTGAATGCCACTGTAACTCCACACTTTCATAGGTGTTTTACTCTGTCAAAATGAGTGCTTATATTGTTCAAATTGTATATAGGTTTTCACTAGGCCTGTCACGATAACACATTTTGCTGGGCGATTAATTGTCTCAAAAATCGTTGCGATAAATGATAATATTGTTTGAAATTTGAAAATAATTGATAATTATTCTCAAATTTAAGAAGAAATTTTGGGTAAGTTGTTTTAAGTGTAGTACCTTTTTTGACCACCAGATGGCAGTATAATACTGTTGCTGAAAGATGGATAGTGAGGGAGAGAGCAGCGTGTCTCTTTAAGAAAAATGGGAGGGAGGCCCCTTGAGTAGCTTGGGCTGTCTCGCTTTCCTTTATTTCGGTTCATCAAATGGCAGCCGTTCGGTGTGATTTGAGCTCTTTAGCATTGCATTTGTCAAACAAAGCTTTTAATAAAAATCTGTAAACAAGTTCTCAGCTTCTTTTTGCAGAGAAAAACAACTTTTTACACGATGGCACGGGTTTCAACCGTGAATTTTGGAGCTAAAAGACGGAGTTTTTTTCCCCAAGGTCGGCCTGTTGGCTTAGCTCGTAGCTTAGCTTCTCAGCTTAGCTGCTTTTAACGATCCAAAAACACAATTTTGGATGGTTTAAATGGATTTTAAAGAGAAAGGGATGGGTCAGTGAAGAGCACCGGAGTTGAGCCTTTTGTCGTCCAGTGTCTTCAGTAGAAAGAGAGAGACACGACGAAACGATAAAACCGATACATGAAAATGAGATTGATAATTTTCATTTATCATGCGATTAATTGATTTATTGTTTACTGCGACAGGCCTAGTTTTGACAGTTTTTTAGAAAATTAAAACATCTACCTCCTTTTAACCTCATCATACATAGGTTGATACATTGGAGTGATGTCATTCTAGAGACTTCAGTTTGAAGACTCAAAGTCTGGTACAAAATAATATGCTGACAGATTTTAGGTTACATATAATCAGATGTTATAAAGGACCATCCCCACACTACAAAGCTGAGCTCAGGTCCAATACACTCTTTTTTGACAGTGTTTCAGTGTTTCACATTTTAGAGGATGTGAAATTTACCTGTATTCTAAAACTGTAGAAGCGCACAGTGACCTGCAGGGAACAGGTGAGCTAACGGTGCCTAAAGCATTTTATTTAGTTTCAGCACCAAAGATATTTCACACCTATGTCAGATAAAGCTGACGTGTGGCTCGCTCATCAGTCAGCACACAGAATACTAACTGCAGCTAAGCGGGCAGTGTGAACAAAGTCAGAAAAAAAAACACTCGGCGATACAACTTGACACAGTAGGTCAGGTAATGTCAATACCAAGCAGCAGTCTGACACTTGCTAACACATTAACAGTACATCGTTTGGTGTATAAACAAGGTGTTATTTTATTAAAACAATCATAAATGGAACTCCGACTAATACGACTCATCTGGCTTAACAGATTAACGTTAAGATTTAGCTGCAAAGATATTTAAAAACTCTCCCATTACTGTTTTCGTTGTAATGCATTATGGGTATTACTGACGTAAAATGGCAGCTAAGAGCCCAGGACTCTGGACGTACCATAGGATCAATTTGACTTCTGTTCATCCTCAGTTTGAGCATGAGTGAGTGCAGCAGGAGAGCTGAAGGGGACACTGTTGGAAATTTACAACAAGATGTAGAAGATCAGAGAGGTGGGAAGAGGAAAGTGGACTGAAATCTGTGCAGAGTCACATGGGCTTTCAATCAAGAGAGCATGAAGCCAGTCGGCTAAACACTCTTGATAAAGTTAAATCTAATCATTCATTTTCTGCACTGGTGAAGCTCTTATATTTGACATACATATATTTGAATACTAATTTTGTTTCCTTTTTTTGACAAAAGAACAGATAGTTTAAAAAAACCGCTGTAAAGAACACAAAGGGGAATTTAGGAAGCCGACTATGCAAATTTTTGTTATCTAGAGATGTTGAAGATTTGATTTAATGCTCTTGTTCTGACAGTACGTAACATCAGGATGTCACAAGTGAATATATTTACTGGAAATAAAAGTTATAGCAGTACTGAACCTGTGATGGTCGAGGGGTCATTTTACGTCATCCTTGACTCAGAATGCATGGCACGCATAAAGCAATGGTAAGAAATGCACTCCAAAATATGATCTAATGCATTCTGAAAAAAGTATATGTTGTGCATGTTTTCTTCAAGTGTTTTTAATAAAATATGGCAAATATAACATTCCACGTCTATAGGTCTTAGTAGTCGGGGTCTCATTTAAACCACTAGGATCAAGTGTCCTCAAAACTTCATATATAAATGTTAAATTTCTTTAGCACAAACAACAACTGCAAATACGAACCACAAATTTTTATGTGGTTCATGTTTTCTATATCATAAGAACAAGTTGCTTTTCAAAATTGAAAAGGGAAAACTAGCAGCCAAAACATCCACGTGCTTGTCATGAAAATATTTTTTTTGACAAGTGAGGACAGACAAGAGGTATATTGAAGACAATCAAAAGAAGAAAAATCTATAAAGCTTGAATTTGTCTTCACTGAAAACCAAAAAAAATAAAAAATTAAAAGTGCAGTGACAAAAAAGAAACAATGTGAACTGTTCCTTTAAAATCTTCTTATTGCTCACAATTTGGTACAAAAGGGGGGGAGCAGCAGAAAAAAAAAAAAAAGAAGCCACGTGACGGTCGTTAAATCAAAAGCTGAGGGCAGGACTCCCCAGTGTGTGTCTGTGAGTGTGAGTCAGGATGTCCCAGCTGGAAAAGGGTGACCAACTGTAGAGGCCCAACAACAAAGTGAAGAGAGCTAGGGAGGGGTGGCGGGAATGGATGGAATAAGGAGGTGGTAGTAGCAGAGAGAGGAGGAGTGGGTAGAAAAGTGCTGCTGCTGCTGTTGGAGAAGAGTTCAGGTGGTTTTGTCCTCTACCTTGTACCCTGGAGTGGCTTTGTGGGTGGCAGTGTGGCGCTGGTCTTTGCCCGGCGTTGATGTCCTTTCTTTGACTTTGGACTTGTGGCCCTGTCCTCCTCCGCCCTCCTGGCTCTCCAAGTCTGATGTGTTACCTGAAGAGCTGTCCTGCAGTTTAACACAGCCAGGTGGAAATTTTGGAAAGTGAGTTATATATTTGATTTATATAAGAGTTCACAGCTTATCTGGATTGCACACATGCAGCGCTGATCAGGCACTGAGCATGTCTATACAGCCTGACTACTGGCTTACAGATGAGTTTTTGATCTTCTTGTCATCCTTGCCATCCTCAGCATCATCTGAGTCGGGCTCTGAGTCCAGAGCAGGAAGCTCTGGATCCAGTGGAGGCTCAAACAGAGCAGTGTTCAGCGGTAAATAGCGCAGCTCATTGGGAGAGTACCTGCCATAAACAAAACAATGCATTAGAGGAACAAACTGCACAATAAAATATAATAAAAGCAGATGGATGCTATTTTATGTCAACAAGTTGGTTATGGTGAATAAAAACAAAGTAAAATATAAGCAAATTGGTTTTTTTTTGTGTGAACTGTACCTTTTGTAGTAATCTTGGAATTGTCCTGGTATGAGAGCCACTGGGTAAGGACCAGATCTGGTTAGTTCTGGAGCCAGCACCTTGAATCTGCCCTGTGGTACCTGGATAATCTGGGACAAACACAAAAGAAAATTGAAATCTGAAATTAAACTGAATCCAGTAAAATTGTTGCTTCGATGTGAAACTATTTGTCATGTCAAGTTGGATTTACATGTGTCTGGAGGTCAAAGTAAGCTCTCCTCTCCTCCATACGCTCCCTGTTGAAGTTACTGTTGAACTCTGCAGCCTTCTTTGCTGCCTCCTTTATGTACTCAGGAACCTTACTAGCCTCCACCTTCTGAGGGTTCTGCTGCTGCATTTGCTACAACAACAACAACAAAATGTAAAGAACGAGTCCATACCTGTTATTTTTACTTTCATTAAAACAAAACTACAATATGTTTTTGCTGACTTTACTTACAGAGTACTCTTTTGCTATTCTCTGTCGCTCTCTTTCCTGCAGTATGACAGAATACTCTGAATGTTTGGAGGGATACTCCTTTATCATCAGATCTATCACTTCATCGCTCCGCAGAGCGGTCAGACCTTCAGACAACAACAAAACTTCTATCATGTTAAGAGTATGGGAGCATTTTATGAACCAGAGCAAGACAACTGCGCATGCTAAAAGTAAGAGAGTCTTAGTTTATGGATTTGTTTGTACCCAGAGTGCATTGTGTCTCTGTGATAACATTTTGTTCACGAAGGTAGAGCTTCTCTTTGTGGGACAAGTCTCTTCTTTCCATATCTACAAAAGAAAAACATGTAAAACACTGATAAACAGAATGTGGTATTTTCACAGGAAAAAAAAAGACAAAAGATAAAGCATAACTTCTGAGCCAATCTTTAATTTTACAATTATTATTTAAACCAGAGATCGTCACCAAAATGTTAAGGACTACTCTAGCTCGCATTTTGTCATTTAACAAATTATTTTTATATCCAAAACCAATTTAGAAAGGAGGCTCATCATTCAATCTTAAGTGCAAAAACTTTCTCATTCTTACCAGGATACTTCCTCTTGAAAGATGTCACTCCCAGATACTCGCTGACCTGCTCCTGGAGCATATAATATTCTCCTGTTTCATCAGGTGGCCACTTGTATTCTGTCAGGTTTTCTGCAGGGAAATATGTTGGCCTAAAAAAGTGGATTGACATTAGGGTAAGCTGTTAAAAAATACAACACTAGGTAAAATTTGACAGCAGAGACTGCACCAAGTAAATGGCCTGTATTTATATAGCGCCTTTCCATCATCAAAATACTCAAAGCGCCTTACCTCCACACACACATTCATACAGCACTCTATTACATCTCTACAAAGATAATCCAAATCTGTAGAGACTACTTTAGGTCGCATTCATACGCCAATGGACACACATCAGAAGCAATGAGGGGTTTAGTGTCTTGCCCAGGGACACATCAGCATGTGACTGCTGTTGGAATCGAACCCCCAACTCTCCACTGGAGGACGACTGTTCTAACCACTCAGCCACAGCTGCCCCCAAGTTTGAGTCTCCAGCTAACTTACCCAAGCTCTTGGCTGAAGGTGTCACAGCTTCTTGAGCTGTCCCCTGAACCCATTCTCCTTCTTTTAGGAGGCTGGCTGCCATCATTGGACACTTCTTCTATTACATCTTCCTAAAGACAAGGAGAAAACAACAGATTCCAACTTTAATATAAACTTATATGAATTATATAAATCAATGACAGTAACAACTGCATATACTGCTTGGTCAGGTTTAAACCCAAAAGTAAATTAAGCATTATATTTTAGGCTTTTTGTGGGCACATATACAGTTGGCAAACAAAAGAAAATAAAAGCGTAATGACTGTATATTAGGTGGTTATATACATGTTTCCCAACCAGACTACATGACAAAAATGACAGTGGATTCTCACTAAATACTAAGGAGTGATTTCTTTGTGAATTAATTTGCAGTGAATATAAAATAGAAGACCCCCCCCAAAAAAAGCATTTATATCAGTCTATGTAAAGAAATCAGTGTTGGAAACAACTGGGTGTAAACAAATTACAATAATAGACAATAATTACATAAGCATCTTGTCCAATATGTGAAATGAATTTCCACACAATTACATTTTGGCAAAATATATTTGTATTTATGTTAGTAGGCATCCATTTTAACACGATTTATACGAATTGCATGATACACAAGAATGTTTTAAGGGGTCACTAAAATATTTGATAACGAAAATTTCAATAAGTGTGAAATAAGTTTACGGATGTGTTTGTTCAAAGCAAAACAAAAGTATTATTTTTACATAAAAGGTGAAAATACAGGAAAAACACAATCAATGTTACACACTTAAAGTCCCGTTTTGGGCTTGCACCAGTCAAATGACACACATGACAACTTACACTAAAACCGAACAAGACTTGAACTAAACATACGATTGAAAACAAAGGAATGATGCTAATGTTGCTACAGTCAGACTGAACGGAGGTTACGGCTGGATAGCCTGAAATAAACGTATAGATGACTGAATTGACGTAAATGTCACCTTTATAGACTGTGCTCCCGGAGTAGCAGGATTACTATCGCAAGGCGGTCTGATTGGGATCAAAGTAGCCATTTTTCACTAAAATAATGCCTTGCAGCTAGGCTAGCTCACTAGCCGAGTCTGCGCTTCTTCTTCTTCTCCGGACAATCAGCAGTTGAAGGTCAACTATTTATTTAGCGCCCCCTGCTGGACTGGAACAATAAATGGTGGTTTTATAATTTATTTATTCGACTCATAATAATCAAGTGTTATGGTAATTTCATACATATTTCAAACAATAAATATTAAAATGTTGTATTTGTAGTTTAATAATAATATTAATATTTATATAAAAAGGCATACAGATTTTTTTTAATTTGTAAAAAAAAAAATCTGTATGCCTTTTTATAACTGTCTATTGTTGTCGCTGTTGTCCATTGTTGTCATCATTCTTTGTTGAAATCAGGTCTCTTGTAAATGAGTCCTCGGGGCTCAATGGGATTTACCTGTCTAAATAAAGGTTGAATGAAAAAATATAATCAACAAATATATTAGTCACTTTAATAGATATCATGTGCTGGTGAAGATACTCAGTCATCCAGGACATGATAATTTCAAAAATGTTCAATACAAAAACAACTGGACTTTATTTGTAACATAAGACGTTTTGCTTCTCATCCGAGGAGCTTTCTCAATTCAAAGAGCAGTGAGTGTGGGGTTAAAGTTATAAGGCAGAGATAAGATACATATATATATATATATATATATATATATATATATATATATATATATATGTATGTAGAAATCACACCTCACACCTTAACAGTAGGGGTTTCTTAAGGTCTTTGATGCTCTAATTCACAGACGAGGCCCCTCTGGTCCCATCAAGTGTGAAAACTGGCTGGGAATCAGTGCTAAAGTTGCATTATAAGTTATTGAAAGTGGAAATCTGAGGCCTCCTCCTCTGTTAAGAGATGGTTTCTCTCTTTTAACATAAATTGCTTCCTTCACTCCCCTCTCAAGCCATCTGTGTTCTCAGTCCAAAATGTGCACATTTTGGTCATCAAAAGAGTGTCCCCTGTCTGTGAGGTGAACAGCTGAGTCTTGTCCTGTGGAGCTGGCTCTCCTGTGTTGAGCCATGCATCTGTGAAGAGGCTGTTTAGTTTCTCCAATGTAGAGATCTGGACAGTCCTCGCTGCACTGGACCGCATACGCGACACCACTCTGTTTGTGTATGGGTGTTTTGTCTTTAGGGTGGACCAGCCTCTGTCTGAGAGTCCTGCTGGGTTTGAAATGTACTGGGATGTTGTGTTTGTTGAAAATGCTTCTGAATTTCTCTGATACTCCAGCAACATAAGGGATGACAATGTTTTTCCGTCTGTTGTTCTCCTTTTTCTGTTTATTGGTGTGTTTTGTAGATTTCCTTGCTGACTTGACAAAAGCCCAGTTAGGATATCCACATGTTTGGAGAGCTTCTTGAATGTGTTTCTGTTCCTTTTCCTTCCCTTCTGTCTTCGTGGGAACGCGTTCGACCCGATGTTGTAAAGTTCTGATGACTGAGAGTTTGTGTTCCAGTGGATGGTGGGAGTCAAACAGAAGATACTGGTCTGTGTGGGTTGGTTTTCTGTAAACTTCAATGTTGAGGCTGTCCTCTCTTTCTATCTGAATCAAACAGTCCAAAAAGACAGCTTGCTGTTGTTTGCATCCTCTCTGGTGAACTTTATGTTTTTATCAACAGAGTTAATGTGTCTGGTGAACGCTTCTATTTCCTTGACTTTTGACCCAGATATCGACATATCGGATTATGTTATAAGAGAAAAACCATCTCGGAGGAGGCCTCAGATTTCAACTTGCAAAAACTTATAATGCAGATGTAGGACTGATTCCCAGCCAGTTTTCACACCTGATGGGAACAGAGGGGCCTCATCTGTGAATTAGAGTAACAAAGACCTTAAGAAACTCCTACTGTTAAGGTGTGAGGTGTGATTTGTCAATCTACATATATATGTGTACCTTATCTGAGCCTTATAACCTGAAAGCTCCTCGGATGAGAAGCAAAATGTCTTCTGTTACAAATAAAATCCAGATGTTTTTGCATCGAACATTTTTGAATAGATATCATGCTGCTGGTAAACGTAATGGATGAATGCACTTCCACCAAGCGGCCAAACAGTATAAGAGCACAATCATTTTTTTTAATGTCAAATGAAAAAGTTAGAAAAGCAGCGAGACATAGAATGAATCGTCACAAATACTTGAAAAGCAGAGCCATCGAACATTTTTGCAAAATGTATTTTTCTCTAGAAAACCTAAACCAGCATTTCATTGTATTGACCATGTAACACTTCTTCTTACTCAAAAAGCGTTCAATACAAAAACAACTGGACTTTATTTGTAACAGAAGACATTTCGCTCCTCATCCGAGGAGCTTCTGAGGAGCGAAACGTCTTCTGTTACAAATAAAGTCCAGTTGTTTTTGTATTGAACGCTTTTTGAATTCATCATGTCCTGGATGACTGAGAATCTTCACCAGCATACTTCTTCTTACTGTTAAACAATTCATAAATCCACTGAAATGTTCACAATATTCAATTCAATTCAATTCAAAAATACTTTATTAATCCCAAAGGGAAATTAATTGTTGTTGTAGCTCATCATCTTAGTTTCATTAGAGTTGTTCTACAGTGCCTTGCGAAAGTATTCGTCCCCCTTGAACTTTTCAACCTTTTGCCACATTTCAGGCTTCAAACATAAAGATATCTAATTTAAATTTTTTGTGAAGAATCAACAACAAGTGGGACACAACCGTGAAGTGGAATGAAATTTATTGGATGTGTCAAACTTTTTAACAAATAAAAAACTGAAAAGTGGGGCGTGCAATATTATTCGGCCCCCTTGCATTAATACTTTGTAGCGCCGCCTTTTGCTGCAGTTCCAGCTGCAAGTCTCTTGGGGTTTGTCTCTGTCAGTTTTGCACATGGAGACACTGAAATTCTTGCCCATTCTTCCTTGCAAAACAGCTCGAGCTCAGTGAGGTTGGATGGAGAGCGTTTGTGAACAGCAGACTTCAGCTCTTTCCACAGATTCTCAATTGGATTCAGGTCTGGACTTTGACTTGGCCATTCCAACACCTGGATACGTTTATTTGTGAACCATTCCATTGTAGATTTGGCTTTATGTTTTGGATCATTGTCTTGTTGGAAGATAAATCTCTGTCCCATTCTCAGGTCTCTTGCAGATTCAAACAGGGTTTCTTCCAGAATGGTTCTGTATTTGGCCCCATCCATCTTCCCTGTGCCTGCTGATAAAAAGCAGGCCCAAACATGATGCTGCTACCACCATGTTTGACAGTGGGGATGGTGTGTTCAGCGAGGGGGCGAATACTTTCGCAAGGCTCTGTAGATACTGATGGCTTTAGGCAGGAAGGATCTCTTGTAGCAGTCCGTCCCACAGCAGATACGATGAAACTGGATGCAGATGTCGATACATCCACCCAGACCCAGCAGACCTCTCAGTCCTCGTGGGCAGCAAGACTGCCTGAATGCTGGGCAGAACTCTTCCCCGAGCGATGGCCATTTCTCCCAGCAGCCTACCGAGTCCCTCGTCGCCACGGACTTAACTGCAGGTGCCGAGGGATGATCTCAGTCCTCCCACTGTCACGAGCCACGTTTCCCGCTGCCTCCAAGATCTTGGTGGTCAGGCACTCGAGCACCACCTCCAGGTAGATGGTAATGCATCCATAGCACCTCCTTTTCAACTCATTTGGCATTTGGGGTTGTAATCGAAATATTATTTGAGCTTTTGAGATTTTAATCAGCAGCTCCCAGTTGTAAAAACCACCTTGTTGTTATGGTTACGCATCATAACAAATGTCGAAATGTAAAAAAAGATTTCAGTAAAAATCCTTCCAGCAGCACAGCATCTGATACCAGAGTAAGTAATCGTTCGAAAAAAGCGATTTTACACACAGAAAAACCGAATGTAAGAGAGCTACTAAACCTTTAAAATAATGCACCGTTTCCTCCAACAGCGCCCTCGTGTGGTCATGTGGCGTCATTGCATTAGACCGCCAAGCGTTTGGTCTCGGAAGGCTTTTATTTTGAAAAACAGCAGCGTTCGAGGGAAGTCGGAAGTGGAAATCAGCTGGAATTAACGGACGTTATCAACACGACTATATTTCTCTTTTTGGCTAGCTGCACGTCTGTCAACGCGTGTTTCTCCCTCCCATCGTTTTGGTGTTTCTAAAGCGCCGCGTCGGCGATGTCGGAGTCTTACGGTAATGAGGCGGTTTGACCGGGCGGGGACCGTTAGCATGTCGGTGTAGCCAGGGCAGGTGTGCCGAGGACGGGAGGCTCTTTACATAGCTGACAGGCTAACTCTGAGCCCCCGGTGAAGGTTTCTGAGCACCAAAGTGAGCTATCTGCGTGGACAAGTCCACAGAGATCAAACAGTCAGGTTTACTGTTGTGTTTTACTCGAAATGTATCGACATTTAAAGGTTTATAAGCATGGAGGTTAAGACAGGAGAGATGGTTTCACCTTGTTTTGTGTTCTATTTGCCTATTTCACATTAGCATAACTCTGAACGCAGTGCCACCTACACTTATTCGTGTGTCAGTGTAAGTTATTTGTGGATAAACTGGTTCATCCTCAAGTGTTTAGCTATTCAAGTCAGGTGCTTTTTTTTTGGTGTTTACACAAGAAATAGATAAATACAATAATCATATCTCTGTTTTTTTTCTCCATAAACACATATTTTCTAGTACATGTGTAACAGAAATCTTCTGGTTTATAACTACAATGAACTAGTTTTGTCTGTTAAGATCTGCCCAGCTGAGATTATATTGCTATCAGCTGACTAAGCATGTCATATTGTTTGATAAATGTTGTGTTGCCTCTGTATAATGTTGTTTTATTGCTTTCTCTGCAGATTTCCTGTTTAAATTCCTGGTGATTGGGAATGCTGGGACAGGCAAATCTTGTTTGCTGCACCAGTTCATAGAGAAGAGATGTAAGTTATGAAAGTGAAGTAGGTTATTCAAATGTATTTCTTTAGCAGCAAAAAAATAAATAAACTGTGTTGGTCATCATCCGCCAACAAAAGCTCTCTACCAGGAGCTTAACACTTTTAGGGTTGCAGAAAGCTCACTTTGGATCACATTCATGTTTTATTTTTTTCTTCTCCAGTTAAGGATGAATCCAACCACACGATTGGAGTGGAGTTTGGCTCCAAGATTATCAGCGTGGTGAACAAAACGGTCAAACTGCAAATCTGGGACACTGCAGGACAAGAACGCTTCAGGTAAAGATGAACTTTATCAGAAATGTGCAGCTTTAATGAAGATCTGTGGCTCTGTACGCCACATTATCATCATATTATGAGTTTTGTTGTGTATATCTTCATTTCTGTTTACTGTTCAATGTAAATGTGTCAGCTACTTAAGGTATTGAGGAGTGCTGAATCTAAATATTTATAATTAATTCAAGTGGATGAATTTAAAGCTGCTGTTAATAAAGTTATAATACGCTTGATGTCTGTGTGTGTAGGTCTGTGACCAGGAGTTACTACAGAGGGGCAGCAGGGGCCCTGCTTGTCTATGACATCACCAGGTATCACAGTGATGCTGTTTGTTTGTTTTCGCCAAACTCTGCTCCATAATTTTTTTTTTTTTCAAACGCATTTATGTTTCTGGTTTCAGTCGAGAAACATACAACGCTCTGACCACGTGGCTGAGCGATGCCAGGATGCTGGCTAGTCAAAACATCGTCATTATCCTCTGCGGGAACAAGAAGGACCTGGATGCGGACAGAGAGGTCACGTTCCTGGAGGCGTCACGGTTTGCTCAGGAAAACGGTAACGGCAGCCGCTGAATAAAAAAAAAGAAAGAAAAAAAAAAAACCTCTTTTAGCAGCTCAAACATCTACAGATTGATTTTCATTGTTTTTGAAGAATGAAACCTAAATTTGAACGATCGCGCTGTTTATTACACACCGACTGAATTTTCCACAAAATGTAGAAACATCACGTACTGTCTGCAGCTGCTTTAATCAGAATATGTGTTGTTAGAGCTGATGTTCCTGGAGACGAGCGCGCTCACAGGGGAGAACGTTGAAGAGGCCTTTGTCCAGTGCGCTCGGAAAATCCTGAACAAGATTGAATCTGGTAGGAGCCCTGAAGTGTAGTTCTAAAACCTCTTTTGACCCTACAGGACTAGTCTTTTCAGTGTGTTTATTTAAGGAGAGTCACTTGTTTGCTAGTTCACTGATTTCACTTTGTTTTTGTTTCTCAGGGGAATTGGACCCAGAGAGGATGGGCTCAGGTATCCAGTATGGCGACGCTGCGTTACGACAGCTTCGTTCTCCTCGCCGTGCTCAACCGCAGGGCACCCAGGAGTGTGGCTGCTAGTGGACCTCGTGCACAATGAAGGTGGGGGAGTGTGTTCCTGTGTGTGTATTACATTAATGTTTGATGCCTGGTTGATGTTGAGAATTGTGTTTTCTGCAGAAAAATCCTCATGTACCTCCAGAAATTACACTTTTAGGATAAAACAAATCAAAAATACCCCTTTTTTTCCATCTAAGCTAAAACAAGTCATTGCAGTAATAAAGTAAACTTGGGTGTTGGATATATTATCTATAAAACAAAGAAATAAGATGGACCTACCTTCGGTGTGTTGACATGTTTGGTGGTTTCTTTCTGAAAGTGACTCTGCAGTTTTTTATTCAATAAGATTAAATCAACGTGTGTTCTAAAAAGCTTTGTTCATGTCTACAGGATGCCCTTTTGTTTTTATTTGTGTGTGTGAATGGTGGAGACAGGTTTGTGAAGACCGGAAGACAAACAGCCATGGAGGACCTAACAGTGTTTGGTTCAGGTTGCTGTGCTGGTGACCCCTCCCTGACCTTTGCACGGACCCTTCAGAGTTTCCATTTCTGCATGTGCAGAGAGCTGAGAAGACCTCCCGACCCCCACCTCCTCGTCAGATCTCCACGGTAACCACAAAATCCTCCAAAGGTCTTCTACTTTATTGGACCAAACTGTCCCCGTCCATCCACCCAGGGTGTTTAACGCTGGCGTGTACGTGTGGAGTTGTCTCACTCTGGTTATTGTTCCAGTCTGTGTTACTCGCAGGAATAATCCACGTCTGAGTCTTTGGTTTTAAATTCAACAAGACTAAACAGAACATTAGGTCACTTTTAAAGGTAGATTTTAGAGATTTGGACTGAGCCATAAAAAAAAAAAAAGTTGCCTATTTTAGGTTTAAAGTTAAAAGACGTCCTGCCCCCAGCCTAACTGAATGCACAACGGCTACGGGAATGAACTTCTCCTCCAGCTCTTGGCATGCAAGCAAATTTCCCAAATTCTTGAACTTTTACTGATGATACTCACCTTTCCCTTTGAGTTTTTATCTTTGTCCATTCACCTGCTGTCAAAACTCTGTTACCTCTCTTTTCTAATTTAAACACCACCAGTGTAACACTTCATCCCTGCATTAACAGCACTCCCCTCCCAACTCTTTACTGTACAGTTTCTGTATATAGAGACTGATGCATGCTTTAATCAGAGGTTCTCACTATGAGCAAATATTATGTGTGTATTAAAGTAGATGTCACATTCTGCTTTTTTTTTTTTTTTTTTTTTTTTGCTCCACTGTAAAAGCTGCACTGGCTACTTGAAAAACTGGGCGGTGCCGTTTGCAGATCATGTGTGTGTGTGTGTGAATGGATCAGCTGAGTGAAGATTTTAGGACCGCCTGAGACCTTCTGAGCAGACGCTGAGCATCGTCTGTGCTCGTTATAAGCCATCTGAGTTCAGAGGCACGCTCAGCATCCAGCACCGACTCCAGTGGCAGCGTAAACGTGTCTGTACCCAAATGACTATGACCAATGACTGATCTAACTTCTAACGGTTGCCTGTTCACATGACTGACCGTTTCCAGCTGTGGCTGATACTAACCAATCATTTCAGTTTGAGACGTACCTGATATTACTTTGTTTTCTTCTACAGCTCAAATCTAAATTGGAAATGAGTTCCAACTTGTCATTTACACCTTTATATTATTACTTTTTAATATTCTTATATCAAGAATAGATTTTAAATTGACTTCAAATTAAGGAAATGCTTCACATCAGGAAATTCTCAAGCATTTAAAATCCGATTGTGATTTTTGCCGTTTCGCATCAGTTGTTTTCTATCACCTGTTCCCCGTTTGTTGTCATGGATGTTTGTTTAGCGCTTGTCATTATGAATATCATAGATTTTTAATTTATTGTTTGACAAAAGGCATATGTTTTTGAAATAAAAACTATAAATCAATGTTGGTTTTTTTTCCTAGTAAACCTGACTCAATGATCAGCTGACTTTATGTCTAGTCAAAAGCATAAATGAGTGTATGAAAGAGAAATCAAACTGATTACTGTAGAGGAGCGACAGATGTGCTTGAAATAATCTTGGATACCTCCAAAGAAAAACTGTACAGCTATCATCGCTTTGCATCAAAACATGCAGAAAAGTTTTCCAAGATGTTCAAGAGGAGGTTGAGTTGCTGTGAAGTTCTTCAGGATGTCTGTGGCCAACACATCTGGATCACCATGAAAATGCACTGAGAAAACTGGTCCAAGTTTCACGAAAGGCAGGAAAGAAACTTCTGAGAAAAACGTCAAGGGAAGTAAAGAACCAGACCGACTGGTCATTTTGTTGATGAGTCCTGATGGTTTGGAACATCTGGGAAAAAAAAGGTGAGCATGAGTGTCAACATCCTGGCACAGTCCATGTGTGAAGTTCCATGACAACGCTGCCATTTTTAAAGAGTGGTACCAAAACACCTTCCAGGAGACTTCTCCAGAATGTGTTCAGTGTCTGTATTTTCCTGTACTGTATCACAAGACTGATAGAAATGTAGCTCAAAAGCTTTTAAACTTATAACCTGTGGAAAAGAAATTCTTCAGATCTAGTCTTTACTGAGCCGAAGGCCGATAAAAAAAAAATAATAACAGGTGGGGGTGGGAGACAACAAATTGAAAGTATTAACAGGACAAGAATGGCAAGACTTGGCCTAGAATGTCAGTGTTCGTCATTCGCACCACGTGGTACATGTGGTGGAATGAAATTGTGTACACAGGGTCCCAGTTACATCCAACAATAAAATGTCAAATAAAACAGTAATAACATCTAAGATATGAACTAAGAAAAACATTAACTAATAATTAACATTATTAACCTCTCTCCTGAGGGGAGTGGGGCAAAAAGTGTGTGTGCTGGTTGAGTGAGGTCCTTCAATAAATTGACCTTTAACACAAAGAAAGAACACTAAATATTGGCTATAAATTTAATGTACAGTATTTACTAATAAGAGCCTATTCATAAAGAACTTTGTCTTTGTGAATTTATAAAATGACAGTATGAGGGTGCTGACGGAGGAGCTGTGGAGTTTGAGGAAATAGAGGCAGAGAAGAGACTGGTGCAGGACATGTGAGGACAGCAGGACATGTATGAGGATAGGACGTGAGTACATCAGGACATGTATGAGGATAGGACATGTATCAGAACAGCAGGACATGTATGAGGTCAACAGGACGTGTGAGGATAGGACATGTATGAGCACAGCAGGGCATGTATGAAAACAGGACATGCATGAGGACAGCAGGACATGTATCAAGAAAGTAGCACATATATGAAAACAGCAGGACATGTTGAGACTGGTACAGTGTGGCGTTACAATATTTGAACTGTTCTTTAGTAAAACAATTCAAACATTTTTTTTTAAATGAACATGTTGAAGCAAGAAAATATTTGTCCACGACAACAATGAACAGAACAAAACCAAAATGTAAACATTTAGTCAAACGGCTACAGGTGGAAAAGCGATTTAATATAAGTTTGGCAGCACATTACTCAAGTCCATGTGTCGTCTTCTACGTGACGTCAGCATGTACCGGTACATACATGGTGTTAAAACAACGATCCGGTCCTGGTCTACAGAACATTTAGGCTCAGTGAACACAGGAACAAATGAACCTTTTAAAAACACGACATTTACAGTACAACCCCGACAAAAATAAACCACATAACTACGGTAAATTTCAACTACAACGCTTTTATTGACAAATTACTAAAGAATTAGGAACTAACTGATGTTTATCCTTTTTCTAAGATTGTCAATGCGTTTATATCACACTGGTTTAAAAAAAAAAAATTTTTACAGCATTACTATTGCACAAATATCTGACCACTTAAAAACTAAATCATCACAAAATAAAGAAGTCATATAACATAATACTGGACACAATGTTGCCAAAATGTAAAACAGGTTTTCAAACTTCTCAGCAGTTTCAATAAATTCAAATAATTCACAGTAACTACCTCAACACAAACAAAACAATAAAGAAAACAACGTTTCAAGTATTTATGGCACTTAGCAGATTTTATCACTATTATTCATATCTGGACCTGATTGATCTGTTATGATAAAATCCTTATTAAGCAACAAAAATCATTCAAATGTAAGCTCGTACTACTTTATGTTAAATATATAAACACAAACCATTCAAAATAATGACATTAATCAGATATTCCAAACAAATGCTTTAGATTATTATCAAAGTGCAGTTGAATTTGATCTGAATTAAACTATTAATGCAAACTCTTTTTTTTTTTTTTAATTAAATCAGTTTTGTGTTCAGCATTATTTTGTATTATACTCTTTGGGGTTTGAAAATATTCATTAACAGGAATGATAAAAGATTTGGTCTCAACATTTAAACTCTGCTATGCTTTAGAAAACATTTGGTACTTTTACCTATTTTTTTATATATTTTTTCTAGAGTACAAAACGACCAATAAATCACTTAATGTTTTGAAGACAAGCAGCTGTTTCCACGCTTCAACAAATCTCACTGGCACCTGACTGAGTGTAAAATATTCAGTTAAAACATTTCAAAGTGTTCAGAAGGAAAAATACAGACGTCACAACACGAGCAATACTTTAATTACAAAATAATTATCTATCTAAAGCAAATCAATCTGAACTGATCTATCACAGGCTAAACAAGAACCAGTTCGCTGCAGCTCACATTAAAAAAATCACAAAGCTATAAAACTGAAGCAAACTTATTTCTGTGGATGAATGCTTCATATTCACAACCTGCGGGGAAACAAACAGGCTGAGGAAACCAGCTACTTTCATTTTTGAAAATGCATTTAAATCCAAAATTTTTAGGAACGTCTTCCAAATAATTATACCAAAGTAACAGCTTTTCTGGAATTGTTGTTTTGTTTCTATATACAGAAATGGACAGATTGTACGCTGCATGTGTTTATGGAGACTCCATTGAACTATGACTGCAGGAATCATTTTGAACCATTTAAACAACTGTATATCAGGATTTTACTAAAAAGTTTTTAAAGTTTTTTTTTTTATCTCATTTTTATCTTGTGTTGTTTTGATAAGCCACATGTCAAAGACAAATCTCCATTTCATTGAATGTTATGGACAATAAAGTTGAATTGATTGATTGAACTTTATTTTCTACGATGTATAAAATCACATCATATGTGCTATAAACTGAAACTGATTCATATTAAAAACGTGATTGTTGATTGGTTGATAAGCTGCATAATGGCTTTAAGTATTAAAGGTTTATTCAAAAAGCGTTCAATACAAAAACAACTGGACTATATTTAAAGTCCAGTTGTTTTTGTATTGAACGCTTTTTGAATTCTTCATGTCCTGGATGACTGAGAATCTTCACCAGCATATTAAAGGTTTAGTTAGTTTGCATCCTGATAATATGTGAATAAGAAAACTGCACAATGAGAGGCTGTTCTGGAAGTTCACCTGTGCTTTCCTCATACTGCAGATGTTTCCACATCAGAGTTTACAGTCAATAGTGGCTTTAACCATCCTGATATGCTGGAACAGTGCTATCGGGTGCGAGCAGAGAAGCAGCGCATGTATTCTGTGAGCCAAGGGTTAAAGTTAGCTGGAACCAGTTTCCTGGCTTTGTCCTGATCAGTAGACTTGGCTCTCCTCCGCTCGGCTCTCTGGGTCTGGATCTGACGCTCCACCTCTCGCCTGGTCTTGGCCCTCAGAGCCGATTCATAAATCTATCAGTATAAAACAAATGCTAAAGCTCAGGGCTTGTTCATGCTAATGCTTCAACTGATTTATAGGACGACGAGCAAACCGTTACCTCAGCAGTTGAAGCTGCAGGACCAACGTTGTGAGTCTTTCTGCTTGCAACGTCTGCATCTTTCTCCCCTGATCCATACAAAGCAAAAGGATGGCGACTCTCTTTAATGTCCTCTCTTGGCGGCTGGAATGGTGCAGGCCTCACGCGCTGGGAACGCCAAGCTTGTTTTGAGGATTTGGAGAGTTTTGTCTTCTGTGTTTGGGGTCTTCCTGTGTCTGTAAAGTAAAATATGAATATAAACAGACTGTAGTGCTTTGTAAAGCATAAAACTTTATATGATTAAAGACGGTAAATATGCAAATGTGATGAGGAATTTGAGACATTTTTTTTTTTAATGTGCTAAGTTCGAGTTTGATTTTTGCATCTGGTTGCAGAGAAAAAAAAACCATTTACAACAGTGTAGCATCATCCTATCTAATACCATCCAGTCACTGCTTGAAAGCTGAGTAAACCAGCTGTACTTCTATTTCTGAAACTAAAATGGTTTCCCATCTTTGCCTAGATTTGTGGTGCTTAACAGCTCTAGGCCTTTTGTTATGATTTCCATTTTATGATGCAAAAAAATAATAATAAATGGTTTCTGTGGGTGGCTGGTCTGGACAACAAGCAGGTCAGTTTTTACTTTAATAAGTAAGTAGGTTTTATCACTTGTTATCAACAGTTATGGTGTTAACACTGCTCTGATGAGGCACGCATGATTTAAAAAAAATCACAACATTGACTCATTTGACTCTTGTATATTTAGTTGATGTTTTTCTTAGTTCATATCTTAGATCTTATTACTGTTTTTCTTTTACAGTGTATTGTTGGATATAACTGGGAGCCTGTGTACATAATTTCGTTCCACCACTTGTACCACATGGGGTGCGAATGACAAATAAAGAACCTTGAATCCTTGACTCAAGTCTGACACTTATCTGAGGCTCTTTTCTGTGGTCTACCTTTGTCTCTGAGAGGATGTGTAAACCGTTTGCTGGCTCTGTTGCAGACTCTCTGCTCCTCTTCTTCCCCCTGCAGTGCTTTCGACTCCATACCATGGGACTGTGAGCCTGAGAAGTTATGTCACAAAGAAACAGAATAATTTGCAACCAGCCCATAATGTTGTTTAATCCTCTTTTACTTAAAATCTCATAGTTACCGTGGACTGCAGAGTGCAAAGCAGAATCGTTCGCCTCCTCATCTTGAATATGAAGCCTGGTTACAGCCTCTGTGGTTCTGTTCTGCTGCTCCTGCTGTGTGGTGGTCCTCTCCTCCAGCTCCGGCTCTGCTCCGTCTCTGCTGGTCTCAGCCACAACCTGGTTCTTACCTGGAGGATGAGGGCTCCTTCCCGCTGAATCTGAATCACTGTCCGAGCCATTCCAGAACCAGGGATTGTGCGTGTGCTCCAGAAGCCTGCGAGTCAGCCTGTACGTCAGCATCTCCTCGTAACATTTGCTGAAAGTCTCCCATTTAGGGTCTTTGAAATTTTTCATGTACTCTGAGCGGATCCTCTTTGTCACCATCTTATCACTCTTTAAACTGCAAAGCACAGACAAGTCTACTGAAGAAGAACAAGTCTAATAGCCGATGTTATAAGCCTAAACCAGGTGACGAGAGTGTTTATTCCCTATCGTCACCGCCAGACATTTAAACCTTAACGTAAAAACAGTTCAAACCAATAGCAGGGCAGGTTTCTTAGAGCCCGCCTACCCCCAACGGAGGCGTCGGGTAAGAATTAAAAGTAAAAGTCTGGTTTGATATAAGATCAGTTACGAAAATATAATTCTGCTTTCTGGGTTTTACTGCGAGTTTTACCTGAAAATCGACCCTCAGGTGGAGAAAATCTGATTAGCGTTACTAGGCTAACGCAGAAATTTCCTGAACGTGGTGACGTCACTGTCACCGCCTCATCTGATTGGCTCATACGGGCTCGACCGTTGACAAGTTCAAAATTAAAAATCAGTCGAAATCAAGCTTTCAAACACAAACAGCTGCACATCATTAAAATAGTTTGAACGTCACTTAAATCTTTTTTTATTATTATTATTCACACTAGTGCATAATGTAGGACGCTGTACGCAATTTTTAGCTCATTAAAATTAGCTGTACGTTGTTCTGCGTAGCAGCTGTTATGACAAATGAGGTAGGTGGGCGCTCCTCAGCAAGATGATCATGGGGAAAATATGGAACACCGATAATCGCCTGTCACCGCTCGGAGATACAGCGCGGGGAACATGAAATCTCCTTGGCTGTTCGTCGACTCGTCAACGACAGGTTCAACGGCTATGACAGGAGAAAATTTATGCCTGCGCTGGTCTAATTTTGTGTACAGTAAAGATACTTACGCCGAGCTCGGATTTCACAGAAACAGAGCAGCCAGTACACACAGGCTGCGTGACGTCATCCCTCGGCGTAGCTCCGCCCGCCTGAGGACGTTTTTTAAATAAAGCCAAACACACCCGCAACAGGTGGCCTGAGAGCTGGGATGGCTACAGCGCGGTTTGCGGCTTCTGTCTCGTAATTATTTCTATGAGATTGTTAAAAAGAGGAAAAAATATTTAATTTGTTGCTTTTATATCTATGTGGTTCAAAAACATGTGCCGGTGCTCTAATAAGAATTGGTGACCTTAAAAAAAACATGAAATATTAGTGTGAGTCTGTAATGAGTTATTGTTGTTCTAGTCCTCACATACAAAAATAACCTGAAGAACTCATAACATATAAGGAAGGGCTGGAAAGAGGTCCCTCGGGACATATGGTTTAGTCTAAAAATGGTCTTGGGGGGTCACGGCAGCTCATCAGGATTTGGAGTGTCAGGTGTCCAACACTGACCGGACAGTTTGTAAAGCTGCTGCTGCTGCCTGCGCATTCTTGCCAAGTCCTATTCTGGATGTCAGGGTATAAAAACGACCCCCTTCAATATACCTCCCACCTGTCAGCCTCCATCCCACAAAGCAAATGGAGAGCAAGTTTAATATGCTGAAAACTATCCAACTTAAATCTGTTTGGGAATGCGCTGTTAATTTTTCGTTTTAGGGTATATTTAAATCTCTTGCTGAGAATTGTGAATATTTTAGATGCATATTATTTGCATCATTTTCTGTCACCTTTTATTAAGTTATTTGTTTTACCAAAAAGGTTATTCACCTTTTCCCTTAACAGAAAACCAAGGCCAGGGGCACAGAAAGTACCAAATAATGGACTTTAATAAATTATCAATATGTATATACACTTACATTCACATGTGTTGGGCAACATGTTGTTCTTATTTTTTTTATTAAAGTTTTTTTGGTGAATGCATGGTTCAGTGGTTGTTTTCACAGCCTTTCTCTGAGCAACACAGACAACAAACAGCTATAAAATATGCAGATTTTAAAATAATAAAAAAATGCATATGTCAACAGCGAAGGCATACAGTCCATTGACAGCAGAGTGTTGCTGTGCCGCAGAGGCGTCTGCTTTTTCTTCTCCTCGCTTGATCTCCTGAAGGCTGGTGGTGAAAATGATGGAGAAGCTGGTGTAGAAGGTGGATGATTTAGAAGCACTTCCTGTGGACAATGCTGGGGCCAGCCTCGTCGTACTCCTGCTTGGAGATCCACATCTGCTGGAAGGTGGACAGGGAAGCCAGGATGGAGCCACCGATCCAGACAGAGTACTTCCTCTCAGGAGGAGCAATGATCTAGAAGAGGAGGAGAGGGTTGATGAGAACTCATCCTGTGCGTAATTTGTGCGTAATTTGTGCGTAATTGTCACTTAATGTGTAAAATGTTTTCCAGTTTGATATTAAAAAGGCTTAAGTTTAAATCACCTTGATCTTCATGGTGCTGGGGGCCAGAGCAGTGATTTCCTTCTGCATACGGTCAGCAATACCAGGGTACATGGTGGTACCGCCGGAGAGCACATTGTTGGCGTACAGGTCCTTGCGGATGTCAATATCGCACTTCATGATGCTGTTGTAGGCAGTCTCATGAATGCCAGCAGACTCCATGCCTGGTCAGATGAGAGCACAAGTATTAGAGGTGGAGGAAGGAGTAAGACATGAAGATTGATGTGCACAAATGTTTGTAATTGTAAAAACAATCGTCTAAAGTACCGATGAAGGAAGGCTGGAAGAGGGTCTCTGGGCAACGGAACCTCTCGTTACCGATGGTGATGACCTGACCGTCGGGAAGCTCGTAGCTCTTCTCCAGGGAGGAGGAGGAGGCAGCGGTGGCCATCTCGTTCTCGAAGTCCAGAGCCACATAGCACAGCTTCTCCTTGATGTCGCGCACGATCTCACGCTCAGCTGTAGATGGACAAGTTTGAGAGTTATTATTCAGAGTGCGCGCAAACCGGCACTTTGTACGCAATGATCATTAATTTATCTATAAGTACTTGTATTTTTGTGGGTCAGTTTTTAAACAGGCTGATAATACTGCTCAGAAATTAAAATTATAGTTTGAAATAAAGATGCTATCGTTTAGATTTTATGCTTCTGCCTTATAGATTAGAGCAGAATAAGTTCCTTACCGGTGGTCACGAAAGAGTAGCCACGCTCAGTCAGGATCTTCATCAGGTAGTCGGTCAGATCGCGACCAGCCAGGTCCAGACGCATGATTGCGTGGGGCAGGGCGTAACCCTCATAGACTGGGACGTTGTGGGTCACACCATCACCAGCATCCAGCACAATACCTGAGGAGGAACAAAGAGGGAGTTCAGTAAAATCCAAGTGAGAAATCTTAGAAACTTTAAAAGTGATATGTCGGACTGCGGCTAAAATGGGTGCTTGAAGAAGAATTGAAAGCCAACGTGAGAGTAAAAGTGCACAAATAATTCAAGTAATTCTTATCGACGGTGCGTAAAAGTTGTGCGTAAATTACTTCTGAGGAGTGCTGGTGCAGAATCTAAAAGAATAAAACTTGAAGTTGATTTTCAGTTACAAAAACTGAAGAGTGTGGAGTTCTAAGATGTTTTTTATTTATTTATTATTATTTACTTGGGTGTGGAAATCAATAAACAACACGTGTGGCAACCATTGTGTGCGTTTTTTTTTTTTTTTTTAGTTTTGTGTTTTTCTATAATAATTATGTGTGGCTGTGTGAAGTGTCTGTATGTGTGAGCTGTGGCAGTTTGTCAGTCTTACCGGTGGTACGGCCGGAAGCGTACAGGGACAGCACAGCCTGGATGGCCACATACATGGCGGGGACGTTGAAGGTCTCAAACATGATCTGGGTCATCTTCTCCCTGTTGGCTTTGGGGTTCAGGGGGGCCTCAGTGAGCAGGGTTGGGTGCTCCTCGGGGGCAACCCTCAACTCGTTGTAGAAGGTGTGGTGCCAGATCTTCTCCATGTCGTCCCAGTTGGTGATGATGCCGTGCTCAATGGGGTACTTCAGGGTCAGGATACCTCTCTTGCTCTGGGCCTCGTCGCCGACGTAGGAGTCCTTCTGACCCATACCGACCATGACACCCTAAAGAAGAAAGCAGAGGAATGTAAAGGAAAGGTCAGTCGTGCACAGATGAAAGACTCTGGACATTGTGACCTGTGCGTAAATGTGCCAAACTAGCCGTCACGGAGGCAGACTAAGTGTGATCCTGTCACTTCACTTGTGACAAATTTAGTCTAAATTTGCAATAGTTTGGGGAGCCACAATTACATGACTCAAGATTAATTAGTTAAACCTAATGCGCCAAAAGTGCGCAAAACTAATAAATAAATAAATCTTAAATTATGTTAATTAAATTATTCTACTGGTACACCTCTATCAAAAAAGAAAAGGTCATCTATTTCTGCAGTCTAAAAAACAATGTTTTAGAGGTATAGGATGATGACGCTGTGAATTATTGCTGCCTTTTTTGTTTGTTTGTTTGTTTGTTTTTTGGATGTTTTTCTTCGGTGTTTACCTGGTGACGGGGGCGGCCGACAATGGATGGGAACACGGCCCTGGGGGCATCGTCTCCGGCAAAGCCAGCCTTCACCAGGCCAGAGCCGTTGTCGCACACAAGGGCGGTAGTCTCATCGTCGTCACACATGGTGGCTTCTGCAAAAGAGGAGAGAGGAAAAAAAACTTGAGCGCACTGAATCAGATGATGCCACACAAATTACACAGACTAAATTACATCAAAATTTATATAATTTTGTTTTTTTTTTTGGTTGTTTGTTTTTTCTCTGAGAGATTAAATCTGGCATCTTAATTTAAGACTAAAAAGACTAAAATAATCTTAAAATTTTCCAGGAACCTGAACCTGATCCGGCCCAAGGAGTGCGCTAAATGTGCCCATGACGCACTGACAGCAGCCTATTACGCATGATTTGCAACCCACTTTAATGTTAATACTCTCACTTCAAATTGATTAAATGAACTGTATACTTACTCAAATTTTCTACTGAAACTTGCTGAAAGCTGATTAAGCTCAATAAAGAAAACTAACACACGTTTACAAGCAAAATCTTAAAAACTGTATAATCTTTCTTGTAAGCTTTCCTATTGCGTTTTTAAACGTGAGATCCTCGAAAGCCAAATTATCTAATAAGTTTAAGAGTATTAAGTGTCGTACATCATCATTAATAAAATGATAGATCCGATCAGGCTGCATCAAACCTATATTAATTCATTTAAAATTTTGCTTTTAAATTTCCAAATCAGACTGTTGACTATTTTGCTTGTCAAATCATGTATTTCTAAGACTGCAACTAACACAGAAACTCTTTTATCACGTTTCTACATTATGGCATGTCCACAGCCTCTTATTCTGGGTCCCTGACTATTTCCCCCAGCGGATGCTCCACTAACTCAGGTCTGCTCTGCAGGTCCAACCTGGATGTCTGGCTTCAGGATATAGCTTCTTGCAGGGTCTTACCTTAGGTGTTTAGTCTGCGGCTCGGAGAGAACGACCCAACCAATGCTGCTGCTGAACCAGCTGGAGTCTTCACTACTGCCCGTCCACCTTTTATACCCAACCTCTACCATTCACAAGCCTCCACTGGCCCCATCCCGGCCCTCTGCCATATTAGGATACTGACAGGCAGAGGCAGCAGGAGTGGGTGTGGGAGGGTGGAGGCGCGCCCATGGGTGACACGGCGGAAGCTCCATCCATCACACTCCAGAGCTGAAGGGGGGATCAGAAATGACGCTGCGCGCTCCCAACGAGGAGAGCGCGCGCCATATATGGATCTGTCGCTTTGACCTCCCATCGAGCCCCGCGGTCCCACCTAGACGGCCGTAAAAGGAGCGCGCGGGCCACAGAGGGGTTTCTAGGGGAGACGCCAGTTGCTGCCAAGCAGGGTTATGCATTTGCTTCTAGTAGGCCTCATCCAGCCTTAAAATGGGAAAATGCTTCTCTCATCTGAACAGATTTAGGCCGCAGTGGGAGCCAATAAGGTTCCAAACTGCACTGGAAATGTCAAACAGGGAGGGTGATCCAAAGTGCCAATTAAAAACCCTTTC